TATTTGAACAGGGCCATGTGAGCTGGCCCCTAGTAATGTGGTACAATTGTGGTGCTTTAGAGTCGTGCACTAGGCACTCCCATATAACCATTAGTCCCCTGAAGTGTAATTTGAAATTCTTGTAATGAAGGTTTCAGCAATATTCAGAAAACAATAGGATTCTCTGGGTCTTCCCCTGAGAACCCACCACAATGTGATAGGATATGGAGCAAAGGGAAATTCTATCTGTTCCCCTCAACCCCACCCATGCTAGTTTTTTTGGTTTTGTTTTTTAAAGATTTATTTATTTCTATATAAGAACTGGAGCCAGAGGTGCAGGAGGGTGAGAAGATTCACCAGAGACAGAGCTGGGAGCAGAACAGGCAGACGACCGAAATATACTGCTGAGGGGAGCAGCAGGCGCGACAGGAGAGGTCTGCCATGCCACGTGGGAATCTCCCTGGCCGGCCAGGAATCAAACTCGTGCCGCAGAGGCTGTGGACAGCCTCACAGCGCTGCGCTCAACCCGCTGCACCATCAGGGAGGCCCCATGCTAGTTTTTATTTACTACTGATACCTTCTGAAGCAAGATGCTGAAATTTGGTAGGAGTAACATTTATTTTAAGCATATGTGGTTCACAAATGCTTAGTCAACAGGGCAGGCAAGTGATATTATACTTCAAGGCCTTCGGAGATTAAAATGTCAAGTCCAGCACTCAGCTTCTAACAGGGCTAAGCAAACAGTCACTTATGCTCACTGGCCCTGACCACTCCCCCTACTCCCATCTGGCTTAGGAAACTTTCTAGACAACTGAATAAATTGTGTCTATCTGAATGTGCAGAAAGGAAGCTTTCCCAAGTGACTCTGAAAAAGTGAAATTTTCAGTCAACCTGGTTATCTGACAAAAATCTGAAAGCTTGAACCCTTGCCTAAAGTCAAACTAACCAGCTTATGCCATAGGTTGATGGCAGATGATCCTTAGAGAAGCAGAGCCAACTGTTGGAATTTTCTTAGAAAAGATAACCTTTTCAGAGGAAAATGAGAAAGGATGTATGGGCCAAAATTATGACATCAAATGGAATAGCCAAGCTAAGAAGTTTGCTCAAGTCCACACATGCATGCTAATGGTACAAGAGTAAGTCAGGACTAAATAACTGAGAATAAAAGCATTTATTATAATAATTTCAAATTTCTCGAAGTGACAGAAGAAACAAGATGGGATCCATTCAGTACAGGGTCTCAGGAACAGATTCTAGTTTTTAAATAGCATCTACATGGAAACAACGCATGGACAACCATAACTTAGATCCTTGATCTTTTCTCAGTTAGTAAAACCTAACTTTAAACAAGCCCAGTCCTACTGTGTGTACCAAGTCCTCATAAAACTCACACACAAACACCCCACACTTTCCACAGCAAGTCACACGGTGTGGGTGAAGTAATCTACTGAGTGTCCCCAACATTTTGATCTTATCTCTATATAAGGGCCTGGGGCACCATGATGGGATTTTCTTCCCTAAACACCCATAATCATCAATCTAATATTAGAGTTGGTTTGCCATTCCTTTCAACAAAGCTTCAGACACTAGCTGTTGGTCCTGGAGCTTGAACCAAAGGAAAACAAGAATATTTTCTTATTAAACAGGGTGACGCTCCCTATAAAAACATCTTAGTAAATATTAGTGCTATTGCACAGACCAAATCTAGGTATGTAGTACAATGTATTTTGGCAATCAGCTTCTTCAAATTTAGATGTTTTTGAAAAATTATGGACTAAAAAATAAAGGTATGGAGCCAGAAGTGATAGTCAACTATCAGCCAGTTACTGCTAGACAGAACTACGTGAGGGTGGATATGGGTCGGGCACATACCACTGGCTTCCGTCTCAGATTTGAAAAGCAAATTCTGAATACTCAGTGAGTGACTTAAAGATCCATACTTGGGAAGCAATAATAGAAATCATTAAGATTCCTCCCTACCCTTTTTAACTTGAACACTCAAGAAATATCCACTGGATTCAGTAATGAGGACACGAAAGCCTGTGGTAGTAGGTGATGTGTCACTTCACCCAGAGCTGGGAGGAGAGGACAAGCCTCCTGTTTCCAGCTAGGACTAAATGTGTTCCTCTGGCTTGATCTCCCTGAAGAAAGAAGAGCCATCACTTCAAATACAATTCAAAAACTCAATGTTTGTTTCTCTCAAAATGGCCCAGTTTTCCTGAATCAGGAATGTCCTTAGAGGGTGAGGCCAAGGCAGTCTCATGTGGCTGAGAATTCCTGCATCCTTGGAATACCACCCAGGAGTTCTCTAGAGCAACACCTTTACCTTTCCATTTTGTAAGAGCAAAGGGCTTGCTCAACATCCCTCCAGCAATCTCCAAGTTCATTGTTGATTTGGTGACCAAGCTTACCGCCACGCATGGACAGCAGATGGCTCCAAGTCTCACACAAGGACCCTCCCAATGCCCTGGTGCCTTTCTGTCCCCTCCTATCATGGGACACAGATGCTCATGCACCTGAAAACCAGAACTCATACAAGCAGCAGAGCTGGGGGTTAAGAGGCGTTCCTGACAGAGAAGGCTGGGTTTGAATCCTGCTTCTGCCTGTTACTTGCTGTGGGAAAGTTGATTTACTTCTCTCTGCCTCAGTTTCTGCATATATAATGAGAATGCCCACTTCATATGCTGCATGGAAGGATTAAAATGACACTTAAAACAGTGTCTGCCAGTAAGTACAGTATGAATAGAAAACACTGTATTTTAGAACCAAACAAATATCTCTATGAGTAAGTTTTCTGGAACAAAACTGACTGGATTGGTTGATATAGGATTTCAACATTTCTTGTTAAAAAAAAAAGAAATCAATTCTTATATTTTTAATAATTTGTTCCTTAATATTTGGTCTTTTTTGTTACTTTAACAAAATGGCATTTGTTTGCCTACTCTCACTATTTTATTCAGGAGGAGTCTATTTTAAGCAATTACAGGACAATCAGGCAAATTAAGTGGTATTTCTATTTTTTTTTTCCTCAGAAACAAACCTGCAGGCACTAATTGTTGTGTTCAAAGGGTAGCATCAAAAACTGGAATATTTCTGCAGTGAGAAAAGGGATGCTTTTGCAATAGTCTAAGAGCTTAATTTAAAGTAAGTGCAGGGGTCCCCTGCAGCAGAAAGGCAGTTTCACCACATGCCTCAGAAGACCCCACTACCAGCAGATTTCTGCAGCAAAACCAAGCCTGCCAGCTCAAATCAGAAAGGAGGAGGCCCCTCTCTGGTGGGCAGAGCAGGTAAGCTTTCCACTAGGACCTCAGAAAAGAATAATCCATTATTATTCAAATCACCCTGCCCCTTCATTCCCATATATTGCAAGGTTGTTAAGATGTTAAGGATGTTAAGATGTTCCAAAAGAGCTCTTCACAGTGGCAGGTAATCTTTCTGGAGACTCTACCAATCTTTCCTCTATGCAGATAATTTCCAAACCTGGCTGTCCAATTGAATCATGCAAAAGTTTTAAAAAATCCCGAGGCTCACATCACACTGCGGACCAATGAAATCAGAATGTCTGGGGGTAGGACCAGACAGGGTTTTTATTTATTTATTTTTTAAAATCCCAAGTGATTCTAACATGCAACAAAGTTTGGGAACCACTACATTACACCTTAAAGCTCCCCCAACAAATGCTCTCAGCACCAAACTAAACTCTGGCACTAATGACATCAACGGCAAGCACAGACCTGACTCTTGGTGCCCTGCTGCTCGATTTTGAAATTGTGCAATTAAACTTTCTGAGGCATGTTTTTCATGTCAAAGGGGTTTATGGTCGGTAGTCACGAAGCCAGACTCGCTCATGTTCAGTCTGGACATTTTGGCACATGTGAACCATGGACATCAATCGAGTATTTTTTAAAAAATTAAGTTTAAAATTTTGGTTGGCCCAATTTCAAAGCCTTCCAAAAGCTAATTGAATCATCCCAAAGAGAAGATCTCGGAATTTTGAGGAGGGAGTTTTCTGTGAGCCCTGGATTAAAATACGGTCGGGGACTAGGGCCAAGTCGTCGCGCCGCGGCGGGTCCCCGGCCCCGTTCAGTTTCACTGCACAGTCTAGAGCCAAGACCAAAGGGTCGCAGGTGGGGTGCAGGTCTCAGGAGTGCCCGGGAAGCGACCACTTAACGAGACCCCACGGGCACGAGGGGCGCAGGCTAAGGAAGGCAGCTGCGGGCCAGCGGGAGGGCTCGAGCCGGCGACCCGCTGGGGTCTGCGCCTACGGACCGGTCCGACCCCACCCACCCTGTTGCCAAAGAGGAAACTAAGTTCTCGCCTCCCAGCAGCCACAGGTAGTGACAGAGACGAGTTTTCGGGTCTCACAGTACGAGGCTCCACGCCCGGGAAAAGGCTTGCAGAGACCTGCGGGCGGGGCCGGGACCAGGCTGGCCAGGCGGGTTCCAGCGAGCCGGCGTCGGGGTGAGCCACGGGTAGAGGGAGGAGGCGAGGGGGTTCTTGTCGGGAAAACGCCCGTCCCGGGCGGTGGGGGCGGGGTGGAAGTCGGGAGCCGAATTTCCGCCAGTCCTCCTTCAGGGGTCCTAAGTCCCCGGGGCGCTCGCCCCCGGTCGGGCCAGGCCTTTTGGGCCGACAGCGCAGGGCGCACGTGCTGGAGCGCTGGCTGGCACCGTAAGAACCCTAACCACCCGGCGCCAAAGCGCACGGACCCGGGTGCCAGAGCGCAGGAAAGTTAGGAAAGAAAGTTGCGAGGACTGCGGGGGCGCCGAGCTCCTGGGGTGGCGGGTCCCACACCCCGCCCGCAGCCCCGCGGCCCCGGCCCCTGACCGCCCCTACTCGCACCTCCCGTCGCCAGACTCGCCCAGCCTAGAAACGAAACATCCAGTTCCTCCCACGGTCCCGGCCAGAAGCACAGCCGATCCTCAAGGAAACAGGAAAGGAGGGGCGGGCGGCGGGCCGGTGCGGAGCCGGGCTGGGCCGGCCGCGGGGCGGGGAGGCGGCGGGACCGGCGGGCGCGCCCTTACCTTTCTTCTCCTCCAGCGCCGGGCTCGCCTGGAAGCGCGCGGCCAGCAGCAGCAGGAGCGAGACCCCCACCGTCCCGGAGGGTCGCATCGCTGCCCGAGGCGCTCTCCGCTTTCCGCAGTGGGTGCGCGCGGGGCCGGCGCTGTGCGCTGCGGCCGCGGCGGGCGGTGAGGCGGGGACTCGAGCGGACGCGGAGGAGCCTGTCCGGGCGCCCGGTCGGGGAGGCGGCGGCGCGCGGCTCTGGGCTCGCTCCGGACCCGGTGCCTGCGCGCCGGCGAGCACACCGTGCTGGGGGCGGAGGCTGCCGCGCCGGGGGCTGCCCAGAAGTCTCGCTCGTGGGGGCGGCGGCGCGGGAAGGCCGGGCTGGAAGGAGGAGGGATCAGGAGGAGGAGGAGGGCTGGGGAGGAGCAGAAGGCCGGGAGGAGGGAGGAGGAACCGTGGGTTGGACAGGGCAGGACCGACTAGACGCCGCGGACCGCGGGCGGCCCGGGACTGGAGCGCAGATGGGAGCCGGGCTGGCGACGGTGTGCGGACCCGAGCGGGTGTCCTCACAGCAATTTCGAGCGGGTGTCCTCACAGCAATTTCCGAGTGGGCGTCCCCTGAGCTGTCCCTCCGGACCGGGGTCTCGCTGACTTGCTTTGCTATGCAGGTGACCCCACTTCTGTCCAGGCGAATTTGTGCCATCCTTTCCTCTCTCCAAATTACGGAGCAGAATTTTACAAACTCCCGGCAAACAGTTTCAAGACAAGATGTTACAGAGGGGGATCCATCCCCTTTATACTGGCCCTCAGCTCCTCCATAACACACCGGGATCCCGAAGGCTAGCGCCTGACCTGGTCCACGCTGGTCCTCCCCACATCCGCGTGGAAGGAGGCCCAGGCACCTGAGGTGGCTCTCAAGCACCAGTCAAGCACCCTCGAAATCATCTGAAGTGAGGGCACACAACTCCTGGCACAAACATGGGCCTTAAGAAATGCTTGTTGAATAAAGTGTCTGGGAATGAAGGGAGCCTTCAGCATTTCACCTGCTAGGAACTGACCAGGGATGCCTGAAAAGTGAATATGTGCTGTATATTACTTTGCAAAAGTTTGGTGCTAAGAATAAAGATTTGACACACTAGTGCAGATACTCTTAGAAAAGTTGGTACCCCGGTATCCTGAGTCAGCCCTGTGCAAATCCAGTAGGAGAAATGTCAGGATAAATCACTAAAGATTTGATGAATTACCAAAAGAAGAAGAAATTAGACTTTCCCCTGCTGCAGGAGCGTTAGCTAAATGCCAACACTCACTGCTCCTTTGCCTACAAGACAAATGTATTCTGGCCCCATTCTACCACCAGATCCCCTCCTGCGAGCAGAAATCACAAACTTAGAATGAGCTGAACCAGTCCCTTTTCTATGGCTAGAGGAGAAGACTTTTGTATTTCTCTTTTCCATGCAGCAGTGCAGATTGAAGCTCTCCTTCTTACTGGGAAGACCTGTAGTTTTTCCTATGAATTTAGAGTTGTTGATGTTTATTTCTTTTGTTTTAACAGATCTGGACAGCCACTGAGCCCTCTGAGTTTCTGATGAAGAAATCTGTAAAGGTTTTTCAGGCCACGTGTTTGGTTCTCTCCACATGCTCCAAACAAGGACCTGTAACAGTTTGGAAAAAAACCACATCTACGCAAGTAACACATATTAAAGAAAGTCAAGGAGAAAAACAACAGTGGATGTAGGATGAAGCTGGGAGTGAGTTGTACAGAACATTTCCATAGGCTCCTGTGCACTTACTAGGTGAGACCAAAAACTTGGCTTTGACCCCTTTATCAAGGAAATACAATGGCTGGTGAAAGTCATATTACCCATCAATTGGAGCGACAACTAACTTCTCCCATGTGTCCCCAAAGCAGGCAAGGTGTGAGATTTCACGTTCTCACACCTGTCTATTAGAAATAGATAGCTGGGACCTCCATAGTATGTTATCCTATGATAACATCCTTTGATTTGATCTGACAGCATCTCAAAAAGTAGAGCTTTATGGCGACAATGACTCAGGAGGGAGGGTGATACTTCAGGTACACAACTCCATACTGGATGATTCCTGTGACAGAGAAGAATGGGTAGGCCCAGGAATGGGTGGGACACCTGTGTGAACTCTGTTTCTCCCCCAGATCCTGCTGGGAGGGCTGACTTTCAGGATGATGCATGATCTTTGACAGGTGTTAAACTCCATTGCTATCCATGGTACATTTAAGGAAAAGGCAGTATGGCCAAGATGGCAGAAATGCTTCCTCTTGAGAGGACAGCATTTTGTTTACTCTGGGTCCTGAATGATGGCTGCTTGCCACCTGGGTCTCTGCAAGATGATCCCCAAGCCACATACAAGACAAAGGCATTGTCACACAGGAACACAAGAGCAAACTAATTCCATAGTCCCAAGTACTGATCAGAAATAAGCTCCTCTGACCACTCAGGAGTTGCTACACTTTTTTTCTGCCTTTACAGCAAGATGACACTGTGGCTTAGAGAGGTGCAATAATTAACTTGCCCAAAGCACACTAGCTAGTTAATGAGTCCAGCCTTGAAGCCAAATCCTGACCATGGTCTTCATCACTCTCATACTGCAACTTTTGTGACCCTGAGCAAATAGGGACTTCAGGACTCCAAACTCATCTCTTGGAAAGATTTTAGAGAAGGTAGAAGCAAAATGTCTGCTGGTCCAACAGATTCCTGGATAAAGCATCCAGGCATACTATGTTTACAAATATATGCTGAAGCTCTAATGCTTCCTACATTAAAACTCATAAGGTCTATTAATTTTCATAACACAGGCTATTCATTCCCTTTGCTAGACACAAGATGGAGATATTTTTTTCTCCTCTGATGAGCAGTTTTCTTCTTAGCTTTCTGAGTATTTTAAAGAGTTTAACCTTTCCTAGAAAGAACATGGCAGTGAATCCCCTGACTCTATATACGTTGTGGGATAGGAGGAAAAACAGGTTGTTTGCTTAGGTTCAGATGAAGTTTTAGCTCAGACGAGTGGCATTTCACCACCTGTTTTCTCTGGCCTTTGAGGTCAAAGCTAGTGTTGATGAGAAATACCAGGGTGGCAGATTTGGGAATTTCAAACATTATTTTCTATAAACTACTGGAGCTATCTATTAGTGGACTAAGTTGCCTCCCAGGAGAAAGGCTTTCTCCATCATCAGGAAAGTTGTTAAGCTGGAGTAGTGCACTAAGGGGGGTGTGGACTAGGGACTTAGGTCCCTTCTAACCCTCACATTCCAGAAGAACAGACATTTCTAAATCAGGTCTCTATTTCAATGTACATGCACTCAGCTTTCCTAAAGAAATGTTTTGAAATGACACAGCTATGTGGTGACAGGGTTGTCTCTTCCTCCGGGAAGAAAATTTGGTAGAATCAGGTAGCTGGCTATCAGGAGAGACTTATCTTTCAGCTGTCGGTCCTTTGCAGTTTCTTGAGGGGAGGATCAGTAATGGGCCAGACACTGAGGCTCCTCAGTGCCCCTGGGCTGACTTGGTTGCCTAGCCCATCTATTCTCTCCCTCTGAGTCCAATTGCAGTAGTTCCCCTTTACCCAAGATTTTGCTTTCTTCTGTTCCAGTCACCCATGGTCAATATTGTTTCTTACTTAAAGCGAACAATTTAAGGCATAGTTTCATTAGTCATTTGAAATCTTTGTGGACAATGTCATTTCATAAAAACGGGAGAAAACCTCAAATGAAATTTCATATATACATATTTATATATATATAAATTCAACCATTTATATATCTATTGAAATACACACACACACACAATTAAAAATGAATGGCTGGGAGAAATGGAGTTCTGCTATAGAACTGAGAACAAAGCCTTGTCCATCACTGTATGGTGCATGTGCAAACACCATGTACATGACCTGACCCTGAGCTGGTGTGGGAGGAAATTAAGCGTGGTAGTAGAGGTTTATGAGGATGAGTGAATTAAATATCATTGCTTATTTTACAAATCAGCATGTTTATTCTGGTTTATTTATTTAAAATAATTGTCTGTATTAAACTGCAATGCATGGTAAAATGTGTGCTTTATTAGGAAACAACTAAGGATGTATTTGGGGGGCATTTTATCCATTTTACAATTTAATAACTTTAATAGACTTTGTAATAAAATTTATATTGTAAAGATCATGTGGCAAAGATCGCTTGTCAAGCTTACATTCTTTTAAACAGGAATTCAAGGTACTGCACAAATGGAGAGATAGTTCTATCACCTTATTTTTCTTCACACAGAATATAGATGCAGATAATAGTTCTCTCATGTTTTATTTGAATTTCTTTTTTTTTAATAAATGGATATTGTTTAGAAAGAGTTAAAAGACCAGTAAAACTACTATCTTAAATTGTTATGTAACAAAGTACTTCAGAAGAGATCACTTTTCAGAAAGTCTTCAGAAGTTCCAGTCAAGTAACATTCTTAGATGGTGCCAGGTATTCAGGGACCACAAGGGGGAGAATATTGTTGGTTTAAAATTATCAGCAGGGTTACAGATATTCGAAATAAGTGGGTTTTTAATTTCTGCAATTGAATGGTAAATTTGAAATTCTTGTAGTTGTTAATTTTGGAGGAATGAAACAAAAGAAAGCCTGAGTCGCTGAAACTCAGATGGGGAGAAACCTCAGACTAAAGCCCTGTATTTCAGAGATGGCAGGGTAGGCACCTGCTTAAATAGAATGTAAAAAAAGAGCGATATCTTAACAGCAAATTTTATTGTTAAAATAAAATTATTGTTTTCAGACTTGTTAGATATGTTATTAACCTTCAAAGATGGAATAAATGATATTTACTCCCCACTCACTTATTAAATCTTAGTGAGTCTAAAGTGACTGAGAGACAGAGACTTAAAATCAGTCTGTAAAAAAGGTCACCTGACCAGGATGTGTGTGTGTGTGTGTGTCCTTGCATGCTTGCAGGTGTAAGGGTAAGAACCATTCTCATCTTCTTTAATTCTCATCTCCACTGATTTCTCAACACCATCAAAAAATAGGGTGTCAAATATAGCTACAGTTCTCATGCTTGCATTTAGGAAGATTACTATGTCACCGGAAATTAGTGAGATTTTCCGACAGTG